CCCCCCCCCTCTCTCCCCCTTGCCCCGCCCCTCCGCGACTCACACCCGCCCATGCGGCCTGTGGCGGTCTGCCGCTGCGTGCCATTCTATAGTCCACCTTCGAGGGGATGCAGCGCTGGCGCGATGAGGTCATCACCAACCTCGGCGGCGAGCCCGGGCCGAGCTTTGTCTACAACCCCGAAGAGTCCCTGCTGCCTGCCGGCGCCGGGGGACACGACAGCAACCTCAGCATTCCGGATTCCGAGGAGGACCCGTCGGCCGGCCGGCCTGCGGCCCCCATGCCCACCCCCGGCCCGTCGTTGGCCGCGGCCCCGGGCGGCGATCCGCGCGGCGGCAGGCTCCCAGCCATTGTCATCATCGGCAACAAGATCGATCTCGAGTCCCAGCGCGAGGTGTCCACGGCCGAGGCCGAGGCCTACGCCAAGTTCATTGGCTGCACCTACCTGGAGACGTCGGCCCGGACGGGCGAGAATGTGCTCCTCTGTTTCGAGACTCTCGGTGCGTTTGGCATTGTGCCGAGGCTTCTTCTTGCTCTCCCACACCCCTCGACCGTCACTGACATGCCGCTTCTCCTCGCCCCCCCCCCCCCCCCCCCCCACGCCCCCCCCCCCCCCCCCCCCCCCCCCCCCCCCCCCCCCCCCCCCCCCCCCCCCCCGTTTTCAGTGCGCTCTATTCCCCATGAGCAGGAGGCTCCGCCGGCGCAGCCCTCCGTCAATTTGGCCGACGAATCGGCCGAGGCCAAGCGTGGCTTCTGCTGTTAGAATCGCTCCCCGTCGAGCGAGACAATACACGAATATCCCCCCCAAAAAAGGGCGTGCCCCCTCCCGGTCGCTCCTCCTGCCTCCCTTCCCCGAGGGAGGGGGGACGCGCATGCGCGTTGTTCCCACGTGTCTGTGTGTCTGTGTGTGTATTGGTGTGCTGCCTTTGCAGGGTGGGTGGATTTTGCCCCCCCCTTTTTGGCGCACACGCGCCACCTCCTCACGTCGAGTATTTGAAGGGCACGAGCCCGGGATGGGAAACCGGCTGGCCCGGCTCCAGATGCCCAGCCGGCGACCGCTGGTAGGAGAATGACCCCAACACCGGGACCACATTCCAGTGAAGGGCCAGGCGACCATTGGCCAGATCGCTGTTTCGAGAGGGGGCGAAAGGGGGCGGGAGAGGGCAAGCAGGGCAGACCGACCGCGACCAATGGCCGGGAACAGGGGGGAGGGGGGCGGGGGGTGGTTAGCCAGGCGAGCGGCACAAGGACAAGCGCGAAGCCGCGGCAGCCAAGCGGAAAGAGCGCGTGTGGCGGCCAAAAGAGCCAGGAGAAGCCATATGGGCATGTGTACCGCAGGGAGTTGGACACGCCAGACAGGAGGTACTCCGACCGGGCGTTGGTCAGGGTCAGGTGCGGCGCGTCGCGAGAAACCCGGTCGTCCCAGATGGTGACATGATTGATTTCCTGCCAGAGGCAAAAAGGGCACCGGAGCAAGGGGGGCACAACAATCGAGGGGGACGGCACATGTAAGCAACGCGCCGGGCGCCACATGTCGGGGCAGCCAGGCGGCCACGCACCTGGGCATCGGTTTCGAACTCGGCCACCAGGTAAACAAACACCATGTGGGTATTCCACCACTGGAAGACCCCGGTGAAGTCGATGTCCAGGTCGAAGCGCACGACGGCCACATCCTTCGACCGGGTGAGGAAGGGCTCACGCCCGGTGGAGGCCTGGATCGACCGGAGCCGGAACTCGAAGGGGACCCCTTGGCTGTAGTCAGGGGAGCCGGGCGCCCCGGAGCCGGGTGCCACCCCGGCCGGCGCGAAGTTCACCGTGCGCATGGTCGACGCCGGGGCCGGCGTCACCAGTTCCCCGGAGAAGAGCGACGCCGGCTTGTACAAGGAGCAGAGGAACAGCACGAAGACCGCGAACACCAGTGAGCTGACCAGGTGCGTGGTCAGCGAGAAGAAGCGCTTCGAGGTGAAGTTCATTCCCACGCGATGCCCTTGCTGAGGCAGGCAGGGGCGCGACTGCCAAGAGGAGGGCGCGCGAAGGAGGGCGAGGGGCAAAGAGAACGTGCCCGGGGGGGGG